TTTTTTTTTGGAGAGGTTTTTGCTATAGGGCGTGTGTGCTCGCCAGAAAGACAGAGAGAGACAGAGAGACAGAAAGTGAGAAATCACCCCCCAGAGGTGAGAATTTTCTATTTATGGCATCATGTCGGCACTTGAGAAGGTTTCAGATTTTCAGATTAAGGTTGCTCAACCTATAATACATGGAGCTACTAGCAGACCAGGTGGATGCTCTTATCCCCGAAGCCACAGAGGGGGTTATTTTGAGTTGGCAGCATGAGAGACTGAGTTTAGCTAGTAGCCATGTTTCTCCACTGCTGGAGGTTGAGCCCTGGCTTGTACCTTGAGAGCAGAGACTCACGGGTGCTGGACCATTCAGGGGCCCATGCATGTGGCTCTGAGTCTTCCCCTGCTGCCCCTTCCTCACTTCTTATAGCAGTGCAAACAGTTCTTTGTACCAGTCCTGGGTAAGACGCTATTGCTGTTTCAACTCACTACCTCTGCTTCTCCAGCTGCTGTGCTACTAATCCAAAGAGCAGTGGATTCTCATCTCTCCTGTGGCTTTCCTCTAGAGTCCCCAAGGAGTCTTCCATCCAGAAGGGCAACATCCGACAGAGGCAGAAGTGCCTAGAATCTCAAAAGCGGAACAACCCAGAGATGCCGAATGTAAGGTTGAATCCCTGTATCAAGTTCAAAGGCGAGGAAGCAAAGTCCCAGGTAACGTCGCTGGGGTAACCACAGGCCAGAGGAGGGACATGGTCAGATTGGCCTCTGTCGCTGTCATTTGCTCTTACCTGACATTAGGAACCCAGTTATTCCCAGAGATCAGCAGCACAGCAGAAGTATGATTCTCCTCACTCACCACTGTATTGGCTTCGCTGGCTTTCCAAACATGTAGAATTCCTCTGAAAGAGGGCTTGACAGCCGGCATCTACCTGCAGGAAATTGCCCATTAAATTAGCAGGAGCTTAATGAGTCCCTTCTTGGTATTCTACCTGCTGGCTGTAAACCTGGGCTGGGTCAGCCAGGGCTGGTGGCACAGCTGTCTCACACATGTGTGATGCACAGGAAGAAAGCCCTCTGCTGGGTGAACGTCACCTCCAGAGTGAATACCTGCTCTGTGAGTCTCCCAGCTGATTTAAGTCTGATTTGCAGAGGGACACAACAGATTTGGTAAAAACCATCACCCTCCACTACCCCACTCCTGGGGTAGTCCCCTCCACCCCTCAGCAAGCCCCGGGCTTCACCTCTGCATCTCCTGCTTCCCCAAGTCCATAGGGCCACTGTGGCTCCTTCTCAGAAAGGTTTCCTTGGACCTTATTTGAACAACAAAACATTCCTCCCTATTCCCCTCCCCACCCCACACACAATGTTTAGCAGGACAGTGCTCTCCCATCTGAGGGTGGAGCTGATCTTTTAAAGGTCACTGACAAATCCACAGCATATTTCAACCTCCGTAGCACTTGGCCTGCTGAGTGCACAAAAGCGCATACGTGGCATATCTTCCTCCTTGCTCTTGTGCTCGGCATGATCCCCAGTCTCTTACACTCCCGTTCTTTCCTTCTTTCTACTTTCTTGACTCACTGCTCTCCCCAGACTCATATACTGTGGTGAGTTTTCACCAAGATTCTCATTTTATTATTCTTTTCTCTATAGACTGTTTCTTGGAGATTTTACCCATGCTTCCAGCTTTGACAGTCTCCCTTGTTTTTTAATTCAAAATTATGTATCTTCTTCTATCCATGATTTCACTCATTCATTCATTCAACAAACACTTCTCTGCTTAACAGTGAAGGTATAGAGATGAAAGACTGAGTTGCAGGCTTCAAAGGACCTAATGCAGAAAGACAAGAGTAAGCAGTCATCATGACATAACCTCTGTCCTGGACAGAATTTTGTTCAGGGGGCTGTCAAAGCACCAAGAGTTTGCTTCTAACCTATGTGTGAGGATCAGGAAGATTTTTCCCAAAGGACTAGAAAATGAGTTGCATCCTGAAAGACGAGTGGAAACAGGACATGTTGGGGAGGGAAGAAAGAGCAGTCCAGGAAGTACAGCACATGCAAAGACCTGAGGCTGGAACAAGGATGTTTCTTTGAAGGAAGGACTGTGAGGAGACCAGGGTCAGAGGGGTGGGATGGTTGTGAGAGAGCAAAGGATGGTGGGGCTGGAGAGGAAGCTAGAACTGAATCCTGGCTTCTTTTCCTGTGCCAAGGAGGTTACATCTTGTCTCAGGAGCAGGATGCTCCCTGGGAGAGGGCTGGGGAATCAGAGAGCAAAGGATGGTGGGGCTGGAGAGGAAGCTAGAACTGAATCCTGGCTTCTTTTCCTGTGCCAAGGAGGTTCCACATCTTGTCTCAGGAGCAGGATGCTATGAGAACCTGGGAGAGGGCTGGGGGAATCACAGTTTTCCAGTTAGATCTCCTGCCTGCTCTCAAATACCAGGCCATTGAGTGGCTCCATGACTGCAGCAATCTTGTCTGGGATTCAGGTAACAGGTAGCCATGGCCCCATCTCACTCCTTCTCTCCACATGGCCACCTTCTCCCCAGCCTCTGGTTACAGTCTTGGCCAGCTCTTGCAGCCCCTCTTTCTCCTCTATCCCTGTATCTGCAAGCACTGTTGTGCCTTCACACAGAGAGCTGTTCTTAACCCCTGTGTTCATTTCTTCATGCCAGAGCAGCATCCTCAACCTTGGCATGACTGACCCTTGAGTTGAACCATTCTTTTTTTTTTTTTTTAATAGACCTCAGCTTAGTTTATTTTTAACACCCATCATGCCATGAATTCATAGGGAATAGGTTCCAGTAGCTCAGGCTCCTTTCCATTGGTTCTTACAAAGTGTGCTTCTCTAGGTGGAGCAGGCTGGTGCTTTAGTTGAACCCAGGTACCTTTCTCTTTGGCTTCTTTCTTTTTCTGGTCATTTTCCTTCACACGTTTTAGGAAGCTATCTCTGCTCTTAGAATGTTTAATATGCTCAATATGCACATTGATTCTCTTGGCAAGAATCTTGCCCTTAACTTGTTTGTTCACAACAATGCCAACAGCATGCTGGGTAGCATTGTAGACTCTTTCAGTTTTGCCATGGTAACATTTGTGGGGCATTCCTTTTTGAACAGTACCCATTCCCTTAATGTCTACAATATCACCTTTCTTGTAGATTCACATATATGTCACCAAAGGAACAACTCCATGTTTTCTAAAAGGCCTAGAGAACATATATCGAGTGCCTCTCCCCTTTCCCTTTGTGTTCGTCATTTTGGTTAATTACTGGAAGATGGTGGTTCTGACCAAAAGGAGTTAAACCATTCTTCATTGTGGGGGCTGTTCTGTGCACTGTATGTTCTCTAGCAGCATCTTGGCCAACTCATGTTCACTCCTGCCTCTTGGTTATCTCCCCTTAAATAAATATTTCCTCTTTGCTTCTGTATCCAGTGCAACACAGCAAACCCTGGGCTGGATGCTGGTCCCTTTCCAACCCAGCTTTCACAGCTATAGCCAGATAGGCATTTTCTAGAGAAAATCCACTGTCCCTGCTGTCAGGCCACTCCCTGTGCCCACTAGCAGTGACTATCTCCAGAGACATCCACTAAGCATAGAAGGTCTTAAGGCTGTCCAGCCTGGATCCTCCTCTTCCCCATTTATCAGGGACCCTTCTCTTCCTCAGCTCCCAGCCTGACTGTCTCAGCCTCCAAAACAACCTCTGGGTTTCCTTCTATAGGTGAAGCTGGTGTGTGCATGAGAGGTAGGGAGAAACATCAGTAATGGTTGGTGCTTTTGCCAGTCCCTCCCCACCCACCACCCAATGGAGCCATCAGCACAGGGCCCAGCACTCAGTGATCAAGGCCAGATCCATCTGAGCAGCTACGGCTGCCTTTCTGGAGTCTATTTCTGATTCTGGGATTTGTTTAATAAACTCATGCATCATGGGCCATTCTCGAAAGTGTGATGGGTGGAGAATGGGAAATGAAAATCTTCCCACTTCCAAACCCCTCCTGCTCCTGCTTCCCCTCTCTCCTCTCCTCTCAAAGATGTGGCCAGAGATCAGCCTTCCTCTGGGAAACTGAGAGGCTAAATTATTTAAATGCCAGGAAAGCACCAGCTAATGGAAAGTCCACTTAGTGAAAGGGTTTCAGTTATCTGTGCCCATTCATACGCTCCCTTGGGGGCCTCTGAGATGGTTTCCTCAGAGCTCCCTTCCAGGAACCATATGCCTGTAGGCATTCCTTCCCAAAAGGCATTTGTGGACAGGGTGTCTCAAGTGGTAAGAGAACCCAGCCCCTCCCCCTGCCCCAACCCCAACCCTGGCACTTCTAGCTTTGAGCCCCCTAGGATCTTAAAAAAGAATAATTGTCAAAATGGGCTTTTAGAAACTGCAGTGTATTTTAAGTTCTTAAGTTTAAGCAATTAATGCATTTAACACAAACAATACAATGTCATTGTATAATGGTGATTATAAGATAATGGCAGGATTTATTTTTAAAATGGTAACTCATTGTTCACTATGGGCTGTATGGTCAGGTAGTAGGACAAAAGAAGGATCCTCATTTTCTTTCTATTATCAGTAACTGTCTGTTCAGCCTCATTTCCAGAAAAATGGCAAAAATAAAGTCAGTCATACTGTGAGACTGGGCAAATGGCTCTCTGGTAGCACTGCCTCTAGACCTGGCCTTGGCCTTCTCATTCCTCCCCACAAGTCAAGGAGTATTCTAGGTCAACACCCAGGGACCTGTGTTCTAGGTCATTCTACAGATATCTGAAAAATAAAGGGGCCCGGGACCAGCAGTTAGCATAATAGCTATGTCGCTGGACTCCCATGTAGTCGACCGCAGTTTGCGTCCCGGACCCGGTGGCTTAAAACTCACGCCAGGCGTGTGTGTGTGCGTGCCCAGGGTCCCAAGAGGAGAATGGAAGAGAAGGGATTGCGGCATGGCCATCCCCCCTGGGGGGTGATTTCTCGCTTTCTGTCTGTCTGTCTCTGTCTGGCAAGTGCATGCGTCCTGTAGCAAAAACCTCTCCAAAAAATAAAACAAAATTTTTTAAAAAGGGGGCCCTTTTTTCCTTCTTCAGCCAAGGAAAAGTAGCCCCTGAGTGATCCCGAGGCTAAGGGTCAGCTGGTTGGCTGAGATGGGGTGAAGAACAGACACCTTAACAGAGGCATCTGCAGTTCCCCACAGGGACTGATTCAAGACTCTTCTTTGTCCCATGATGAAGGCAAAGGGGTAGAGGTTATCCCCTTTTAATATCTGAAAGAGAAAACCTCTGGTCCAGGTTCCTACCCACTTGGCCCCAGCCTGATTTCAGGACCTGGATATACAGGCCAGGTGGGAAGGAAAGGGGTGGGGCACAGGCTAGAAGCCATGTGGCCATGTGTCCCCATGGTCTTGTGTAGAGCCGATGCAGAGTAGGCCCCCCTTCATATTCCTACCCCGACTTCTGCTGGTGTATGGGAGAGGACTACTCTCTGGCCTGCCCCCCACTCCAGGCCCTGATGTGAGAGTCCAAACTCTGTTCTTCTTTTTAAAAGGACTACCATTAGAAACTGGCCAGGAAGAACAATCTCTTGCCAATGTCTCCTGCCAGAGTGGGACTGATATTTATAACCTAGAAGAGGAATGGCAGGGGCAGGCGCCTTGTCCCTTGGAACCCATTGTGACCGTTCAGCATCAGCAATGGCACAGCTGTTGGAGAGCATTGGGGTGAGGGCCCTGTGCTCCCAGATGACCTTGGTTTCATCCCCTGTAAAATGGGCGGAATAGTAATCCCTACTGAACAGAAGTCTCATGAAGATTAAACTCTTCTGTGTAAGGCTCTCAGCAAGTGCTCAATACATGTGAGCCATTGTTAGCAGCCGAAATGGCAGCAGCATAGTTATTACATTACCTCTGTGCATTCAGACATCTTTCCCCTGTCAGCTTCTCCTGGAGGAAGGCAGACAGCCTATGTAGAACAGTGGTGTTCACCAGACTGGGGAAGAACTTCTCAATAAGCCCCACGAAAAACCTTTTACGTCTTCTTATTAGAGAAAAATTCAAATAGAAGTATTGTAGGATAGGAAAGGAACTCCTGCGTACCTGCTGCCAGGCTACAAGAATGAGCAACTCAGGGTCAGTTTTGTTTCATGTGTATTTCCACTCATTCCCCAGGGATAATTCTGATCTAGGTCTTTTACCACCAATAGAAGTTTGGGAAACAAAAACAAACAAACTAAAGAATCCTTAGGCAGGTGCCATCATTAGGGGATAGCAGACCCCACTAGCCTGGTGGCCACATTTAAGGATGAGGGAGCAGGAGAAGTCCCAGGTTAGAAGAGGCAGTGGTCATTGTCCATGAATCAGGCCAGCTCAAGGTGAAGATAAGTCATTGGTCAGAACAATAGATGGGCTTGAGCCTGTGGGAGAGGAGGAGTCACAAGCCAGGTCTCAAAAGACATTAAAGGTGCTCAGCAGACCGTGGAGGTCAGGAGAGGATCCAGGACCAGGAGGTGACTGGTAAGGCAGGCAGGGAAGGTGCATAATGAGAGCCAGATGAATACTGTGTCCACTGTGGGATGCCTTTTCCCAGAGCAGGGAGCTGGCTTGCTAAGGGGCCCTTTTTCCCTTCTTCAGCCAAGGACAAGTAGTCCCAGAGTAGGTGAAGCCAAGGGTCAGTGGTCAGCAGGGATGAGGTGGAGAACAGATCATCTTTACCAAAGGTCTCTGCAGCTCCCTTTAGGGGGTCCAATTCAGGACTGTTCTCTGCCCCATGATAAAGGCAAAGGGCAGAAGTTATCCTCTTTTACCAGCTAGAAGCGAAACCTCTTGTCTAGGCTCACATTTTGACAATTATGCCAGCACTTTCTGTCCGCTCACTTAAAGACTGTTAAGTGCTTCTTGTTTCCTGAACAGCAGTTACTCTATCATCTCTGGCACTTTAGAGGGAAGATAGTAGAATCCTTCCTCATAATGGACCTCACAGAATGTATCTTCTTCCTTATAGCATCAGAACTCTGCTTGTCAATCCAATGTCTTGGCTTCTCTTCCTGCAGAAGTTCCGAGGCCACGTCATGTGTTATACTGGCATGTGGGAGTACCTGCACCCTCTTGAAATAATTATACTTCTAACTTTCTTCTTTCTTTCAGTCCTTCTTCCATCCTTACCTTGAAACACGTCCCCATTTGTCCCCTGACTGCCTCTTGTCCTAACTCTGGTGATATTAAGACTAATTTTGGCTCTTTTTCAAAGAACAGGGGTCATTTTAAAGATAGCTGGTGGAGGGTGGGTAATTTAACTTGCCAGGTAGCCAGGTGAAATGTCAATGTGGGGATCAGACACCCCCTGGGATGTGTTTTCCAAACAGTAACTGGGTTGGGCTGCTTAGCTTAAATGTCATCCAGGTTCCTGCCCAAAGCTCAGAATTGTTCAGCTACCCCCAGAGCCAGTCTGCATGGCCCAGACCCTATCATGGGATGTAGGGACGGAGACTTCTGTTGGGGTGTTACATCTGAGTCTCTAGCAGTTGAGTAGCACTTTCCATGGTGACTTCATTGATGAGTGATGCCTGCTAGGACCCCCAGCACTTCCTACCAACTGTACTGATCATCACACCTAGGACCTAGGCATGGTGGTACCCATGAGAGGTGGCGTTCTAAGACTGAGCAAACCTTCCTGTCCTCTCCCCACAGGTGTGGGCCTTCACATACACTCAGCAGATCATCCAGGAGGAGCTGTGCCTGTCAGTCATCACCTTGTTCCCTGGCGCCCCTGTGGTTCTTGTCCTTTGCAAGAACGGAGATGACCGACAGGTGAGTGGTCAGTGGGTCCCTGGGATATGGCTGCCTTCTATAGATGACTGCCTGTGTAGTTCCAAGTCACCTGTGTGGAAAAGAGAACCTGTTAGAGGAAGAGAAGTAGTAAGAAGGAGGTCCTTCTCGCCAGGAGGAGGAGAGAGCACTGCCTCGGATACCCTCCACGGTGACAGCAGCAGTGCAGGATTGGCTCCTGCTCACTGACTACCCCATGTCTGCTCATCTAGCACTGTCCAGCCTTTGCTCTGTTCCCCACCTGGTATCCCACACACAGACCTCGGAGACACAAAGAAGGGCAACACCCAACCCTTTCCCTTTAGGGTTCTGGGTTCTGGTAATGTGTCCACCAAAGCTCATGGTGCTCTGGGTGCACCATCTGCTGGACCCTCTAGCAGCAAGCTGTGCATTTGACCCAATCATTTGCCAACTGAATAATGGCATTAGAGGGCCAACATTCAAATGCCCATTTTCTGGCTTACTGGCTGTGTGACGTAGGGTGGGTTACTGGACCTCTCTGAGCTTCAATTTCCTTCTTTGTAAAATGGACTTGATCATGCCCAACACAAAGGGTAGCTATTTAGAGCAGTTAACTGAAAGTCCTTATGAGTACAGAGCTCAGTACCTGGTCAGTGGTGGTTCTCCACCTTGTCATCCCTCCTTCCTGGTCATGAGGTGATAGTTGGGGAAGAGCTCAGGAACCCTACCTCCCTGCTTGGGCCCCTCATGCATTGACATACTGAAGACCCCTCTTGCCAACCCCTCACTGCTGGGTCACCCCAACTCTCCCTAACTTTGTACTTGTGCAAACACTGAATGTAGATCATTGCTTTGGTTCCTCCTGTGATTAGCTTGCTTCACATTTTCTGGCCTATTGCTTGGAAAGTTACTGCCTCCTAACAAGTTTTCCTAGCAAACATTATTGATTTTGTTTTTAACTTTCCTTTATCCAATTAAAAAAAAAAAGAACCAACAACAGTACCTGGCACAGCAATTAGCTACAGGTTTATTCCATCATGAGACTATGAAATCAAGTCTCTGGGTGACCTTAGACATGAGGTTTCAATGTTGGACTCCTGACAATATTGCTAGGACATGGGCCTTAGCCAGAGGACCTGGTTCAACCTTTCTCCTCTCCGTGTTCCCAGCAATGGACCAGGACTGGGCCCCGCATCGAGCATATTGCATCCCACCTCTGCCTAGACACAGACATGTTCGGCGATGGCACCGAGAATGGCAGGGAAGTCGTTGTCAACCCATGTGAGTCCTCACTTATGAGTCAGCACTGGGAGATGGTGAGCTCTTGAGGACTTTTGTGGAATCCAGTATGGGCTTCAGGGTCGTGTTTCCCTACACCAGAACAGATTGGAAGCCCACCCACAAGGACTCCAGATGCCCTGGCCTAGGAGGCAGAGGCAAAGCCTCCAGGACAAGAGCACTGTCTCAGGGAGGAAAGAGGAAAAGATGGTGAGCCAGCTGGGCTCCAAGACAAATTCTTACGTTCTTAATGCCGTTCGGTTCAGTTCTGGCCGGAGCTTCTTCTGATGGATATCTGGATACAGAGATCTAATAGAAGTATGTGTTTTGCCTTTTTTTCAAGAGTCACTCTACAGAGAGCAAGGCCTTCCTTGTAACCAGGCCAAGACTAAATTTAGAGCTGAACAATGAAGGTTGTTTTCAAAGCAAATAAAGATTACTTTAGACATTGTCTCTGGGTGTCTTTACTCTGTTTCTTCTTACACTGGCTCAGGGCTAAGATGAGTTCTGCATTGATTGGGGTGTGGAGTGAAGGGCGTCTTGTGGAAGAGTGGGCAAGGAAGAAGACAGGTGAGAAATCTACACCCTTATCCTGAGCTGTGTGATCTTAAAGACACATAGCTGCTCCAGCCATGGTGGTACAGATGGCAGGGTGATGCTATACAATGCTAGAGCCATATGGGAGGCTCAAGTTCAGATCCCTGGTTGACATGACCACATAGGACATGCCCATACCCACTTGGATCCTGGATGGTGGGGGGTGGGTGTAGATCATGGCATGGTGAGACTTTGTAAGGGGTACCTGTCTTTCCCAGCATCCCTCAAGAAGTTAATAAAAACAGAAGATGTGTAACTTCTTTGTCTTGCTATTTTCTGTTACATCACATTGAGAGGAGTGGGACGAGATTAGTGATTTTTACAGTCGATCTACATCTGCCTCATTTGAGGACATTGTCTCTAAAATGGAGACACTAGGTTTCCCTGTGGAGATCCTGCTTCAGTAGATCTGGAGCAGGATCCAGGCTTCTCTACTGATTCTGATGCCCCTCATTGTTTAAAAACACTGCCTTAGATAGTATGCGTGGCCCCTTATGGTCTATAGCCACTAGCACAGGAGTTTCTGACTCTAATAAATCCCCAGTTTACTAGTGTGCTCTGGGAACTGGCTGTGGTGGTGGTCCATTTGTACTAATGTTTAAGAGAATTACCAGCCCACATTGTCACATAGTGTCCCAAATATACCTGTACGTGTTCTACCAATGTAGGTTTACTACATGGTGTTCAGAAACTGTCTTCATTATCTATTGCTGAGTAACAAATTACCCCTACACTGAGCAGCTTCGAGCAACACATCCTTCCTCATTATCACAGGCACAGCTTGGCTGGGTCCTCTACTGTGGGTGCCTTACAAGGCTCCAATCAGGGTGTCAGTGGGGCTGCAGTCAACTCTAGGTTCAACTGGGATAGGATCTATCCTGAGCTCCCTTAGTGGTTGTTGGCAGGATTCTGTCCCCTGCTGACTGGTGCCCAGGGGCTGTCCTCAGTGCCTTGCCATAGGAGTCTCTCCAAGACAAGTGAGCCAAGAAGGCAGGGGTACCAACCAGCCAGAAGTTACAATCTTTTATAAACTCACCGGTTATCTGCCGTATTCATTTTGTCATATTCATTCCCTAGAAGCAATCTCCAGGTCGAGCCCTTATGCAAAGGGTGAAGATTACACAGGAGAGTAAATGCCAGAGGCAGGAATCATGGAATCATTTTTGAATTTGCTACCACAGTGACTATTATATTCTAAGCAGGTGTTCATGTCTCTTCCATCCAGAAAGCCCTTCCGTAGCAGGATGTTGTTTAAGATCATCATTATAAAATCTCTTACTGCGGACTACCAAAGACGTGCAAAGTAAAGAGCTGAGTGTATGCAGACCAGAATCTCCCTGGTGGCTGTGTTTGTGCATTCCTCCTACTGCCTTCTAGAATTATGACTTGGTTCTCTTACTGGGGCTATTTCACTCCACACTGGGAGAACAGAGGAGTTCATAGGCAGATAAAACCCTCTGTAGAAGACATTGTGATGATTTCTTAAGCTATGTGTTCACAGGGTTCAAACCTGCCTTGCAGAGAAGGAGGAGATCAAGCATATTCCCCTAAGTGGGTGAAATAGGTGCTGTACTAGAATAAATACAAGCAGAGCCTGGTATTATCCTCATGTGTTTATTTATTACTCTCTATTCATACCCATCTTTGAGTTCCCTCATGACAAGAAAGGTATCTCTCATTTTTCTTTATCCCCAGAACTGGATGGGGCACATCAAGTTTTCTGTGGATATTTTTCTAAATAGATAATTGAAAAATTATTCCTTATCCAGGAAGTAACTTTACTTACATTTTACTACTACTATAAAGTCATACAATGCAGGTGACTTTAAGTATCTTTCAAACATTCAAGGGAATGGAGCAAGAGGAGTGGAGAACTCTGCTCCAATAAAGCAAGAACTGCTCATCTCAACCTCTTTTGGTATGGCCCAGGCGCTAAGGCTTAGCTATACCATTGACCCTCTCACCAGCAAAAGACCTCAGGATAATAATAAAGAATGTAGAGGATCATCTGCTAATGGAGATGTGGATGGATCTTTTAGCCATAGGGCATGTGTCTTCAGACCTCATTAGTAGAAATAGAGGTTAAAAACCGTGATGATGAAATAAGAATCACTACAACTGGATAGAATTATTCACACCCCCTCTATCCATGATCCTCTTGGTGGTGCAACCAAAGCAAGAGTAATTTGTAATTTAAAATCATGCATAGCAGCAATTCCTACCTCCACCAATTCAAGACAAAGCCAGTTGTGGAAGAAATTTCCCTCACCTATTATTATATCTGACTACTGGGAACAGAGGAGAACAATATGGGCTTCTGGTTATCAGTACAGTATGCATGTTAAATGAAAGGGAATTTTTATTTATATTTTATGTACATGTATGTATGCATATTTGTGTATGTATAAATATATCTGAATACATTGTGTGTATTTTTGTGAACTAGGAAAAAGAGAGGCAAGGGCTTCAGGTGGTTTCTGCTGTATGGATTAGACTTGGGGCATGGTGGTGTTGAATCGATGGGGGAAAAATGGGAGTTTTTAGGTTCATCTGGGCTCAGCATGAGTGGTTGAGTCTGGCCCCATATTGGATCTGAGAGACACTCTCATGGCAGTTTGTTTCTTAGGGTGCTTTATCAGTTTTCCCTGTGATCTCATCTCCAATAGGAGTTGAAGATGTCCCCCTAGACATCCCAGGTACCTTAGCTTTGGAGGCATGCCTTGGGGTGGGTCTCAGTTTGCCTCTGTTGGGGTCTTGTCGGTCTCATTGATTTCAAATCAGTTCATATACTGAGTTTCCCATTGGTGTTTTGCTTTTTTATTTTATTTTTTCATTGAAAATTATGAAGAGAATTTGGAGTCCACTTCTGTGCTTGGCACAAGCTTGAATTTTTATCTTTTCTGAATTGTCTTTTTCCCTACACCAAATTTTAGTCCTTCTTTATGCCACTGCTATTCACCCAGCTGGTGGATGGGGTTTGTCCAGCCCTTCTAGGCACCAGCTAGATATAGGGACCTCTTTCTGGCCACCCATGAGAGTGAAGCTTTCATTACTATCTCTGCTGGGAGCTAAAATCCCAGTCTTGGTGATGTATGTCTGGCTTCACTTCCCCTTCAGCCCTCCCTCACCACTCTGACTTTGAATACATACGTTTTTGTGAATATAGAATTTTCCCCTTCTTCCTTTCAAATGCAGCTGTGATTTCAAATTGTTTTATTCAATATGTATTTGTGGCAAGAGGGAGGGAGAATCTTTTGTCAGATTAGACCCAAATTCCTTAGTGCTGTAATTAGCTGTCACCACTGTCTATCCCACTGGCTAGGGGACCATATCTTATTGTAGATACTCAATAAATTTCTGTGAATGAGTGAGAGCATAAGCCTGTGATTCTTTAGTACCACTTCCTAATTACCTCCTGGCTACAGTTATCAGACATTTGCATTGTGAAAAGACAGCAAAGGCAGAAATGAAGGACTGAGAAGACAAATTTATAACAATAAAATCTTGTTATAATACACATAGATTTAGGGATCATGCATATTTTACTTCATAATGACAGACTTTAATACTAAAAATGCTAACTGGAGAGAACTATCAGTAATGGAAATCTTTAATACTGCAGTAGAACCCAGCAAGAGAGAATTTGTTCTCATAAACTCTGGGGCATTGTGATAGAAGACTGGGCGAGAGCCCTCATATTTCATCTGTGAGACTCTCAGACATGCTCACTGGTATCTGGCTACCTAGAATGTCCTGACTGGCTTCAAAGAGAGGCTTACCTTGGACCTGAGTCCACCATAATAGACCCACAATAGATTAAGTACTCTTGCACCCCCTACTTCACGTACCAAGTCACTATCCTGCTCTGAATCCATCTTTTTTGCATCTGGGACAGTGTCTGGAACACAGAGTAGCATAATGGTTTGAGAGCTGTATGAGAGGTCTCTAGCAGCTGTGCAAACATGGTGGCCTCTGGGCCTTCCCAGGAGGCAGGTGGGAATCTCTTTTCCCCACCTAATAGAGCCAACTGCCTAAGCTCCCTCGTGGTCTAGGCTCTGTGGCAGCCCAACTCGGATTAGCAGACTCAGAAGCTCCGAGCGTGTTTCCATTTGCCATGGAGCCAACTAATTTAATGAAGCCGTCACAGTGCAAACCTCAGGGCTTATTGGAAAAGGACTCGAGCACGACATTATTTCACAGCAGTAGATTGCATCATTTTCATTTCACAGCTTTCCAATGGGAAATAATAAAACAAAATTACAAACATAATGAAGAAGGAAAGAAAGAAACCTTGGGTGAGAGACACATCCTCAGTGCTATGACAGAGCTGGTTGGCGTATTCATTTGAGCCAGTAAGTATTACCTGCCTCCGCTCTGCAGGAAGGAGCAGCCCAGGGTGCTTTCACCTGCAGCTGAAGATAACTGGCTGCAATAACTCACTGTCCAAACATAGCAAGGAGCATGCACATCCCTGGAGTTGGCCCTCTGAGAGATACCAGGCTCCAGAGCACAGTCCTCATCAGACTAGCTACCACGTGGGGTGAAGTGTTGCCATTGGCTATGGCAGGGAAAGCTGGTGAGGTGTGATGTGCAGCACACCTTCTTTTCCTTGAATGACAAAGCTTCAGCAGTATGGCTTCACCCAAACCAGAATGGAGGGAAGAATAGGTGCTCCTGATCCAGCGGCACTTGCACTGACACTGTAGGTGACTGGACAGCCAGAGGCTAAGTAGTATTGTAGGTTCATCAACAGAGAGAGAAAGCTCTTCAGAAGCCGTTCTTATTAGTAGCTCTGAGGTGTACAGATGAGGGAGGCAACTGAACTAGTCAGTTTGGTTGGTTGGTTAGGTGCACGC